ATCTATCATCTACCCACCATCTATCAATCTACTACCTATTTATCATCTATCTATCTATCATCTACTTATCTATTGTCTGTCTATGTCTTATAACAGCCCAGGAGGCGATGCCTCAGTCTCCTGTAGGGACAGTGCCATCCCCAGCAGCGGGCAGGGCACTGGGTAGGCGTGTGAGTATTTGTTTCGCTTGGTCCGCATCTAGGTGAATTGAGACTGTGTCTTGTTGAAAGTCATGTCATGTGGGACTGTACCTGTCCAGGTGGGGGATGGGAACGGCCACACGTATTGACTTCATGGTTCATTTCAGAAATTACATTTTTTATTGTGAAATAATAAAGTCATCACACAGGCTTTTAAAAATACAGAAAGAAGCCATAACAAGTCAAATACAACCCATCCCTACTCGCAGTCCCTGGAGAGAGTCTTAAGTGCTCCAGCTGCCGTTTACCAAGGCTGCGCTCTGGGCCGGGCACTGTCCCAGCACAGGACACGTTCGTTCGATTCTCTCCCAGCCCCACAAGGTGTGGCTCCTACCTTTCCCCCCCTTGTCGGTGAGCAGACTGAAGCCCAGAGGGTTTAAGAAACCTGCCCGAGGTCACCCAGCCAGCCCTTCAGGAGCACAGCTGGGTTTCGCTGTCCTCAGGCACTGCCTCTCTAGGGGGAGCCGCTCACCCATGGTTTGCTCCTGGGAGCTCACGCCCACACAGGCACGCACACACTCCCACCCGAGGGCACCCAGGCCACACGATTGTGGGGTACCTCTGTGCTGCCACACTTCTGTGGCCAGCCCTCCTGCTGTGTCTGTATATCCCCACCTCACCTCCGCTCACGCTGAGAACCTTCCCGCGGTGCCTTTCCAAGCGTGGCCCGGTCACCCCCTGGAGCCAACATGGTGAGAGGGTGTGATGCCTTCAAGGTCATCTCAGAGGGTGACAGCAATTTCACCTCCCACCGGCCATGCTGCTTGAGAGAGATGCGGGCTGCTTTGAGGTTATATTTGTTGAGCTTCCAGTATATATTTTAAAACTGAAGAAACTTCAAAATGCAACAACCGAGGAATATTTTCAAAGAATTGCTGCGTCAGGTAACTTGAGTTCCCAAGCTCGTTAGAAGGGTGATCACATATTAATCAGCTGTACAGACGGTGAGCCCGCAAGGGTCCCAGGTTCTCAGGTGATTGACAGGCCTCTTCCCACCGGCCCCACGTGGGGCCTCATTGGATGTTGCTGTTCTGAACATGTGAGCTAAGCTCGGGGGCTCTCCTGACCTGACGGGTGGGTCCTAGCCAGGTCTGAAAGGCCAAGCCTGTAGTGTCATTCGAGGAGGACGTCTGGCACCCTGGAGAAAGCTGCCACGTGTCGTTAGATGGTCCTGGATGTCGCCCAAGGACTGGAGGTCCCCACCTTGCACCTAAGGCACACAGCCATTAGCCGGGTGGTCCAGTTTTCTCCATTGGGCATTGATTCGGTGGTGATTGCGTGCCCAGCACTGTCCGACAGGATGTGGCTCGGCCGAAGGGGACTGTAGTTTGGCACCTGAGGTCATGAATTTTTACCATTCGCCACTACCTCTTCCTGAGACCGTATTCTCATTATAAAATGATGTCGGCATTGTCAGCCATGAAAACAGTGTGGTATAACCTTAAAAAGAATCTCCTCTACTCCACTTAACGTTTCCACTGGCCATGTGTGGACAGGCAAATAAAAAAGAAAAACCCTAATTGTTTAGAAGGTTATTGACCTTGCCCTAAACATGCATCGTCCTAAATGTGCACAGATACTGGATTCCAGGGGGCTGATTCCTTACGCAGCCAGGAGATTGGATTTTTAAAGCACAGGTGCTGGTGGCTCCTGACCCAGCCCTCTCACACCCTTCACAGATCTTGCCCAACACCCTCCCATGGTCCTTTCACCCCAAGGGACTGAGAACCCTCCGCTGCCTTTGGACACGTGTGGCTGGGTAGCCGCTGGGGGTGGGGTCATGGTGAGGGTCTGGTGGCCCCCTCGCCTCTCTTTGGTGGGCAGGGGTCGCTCCCCATGTTTGCTTGTCTCTGCACGCCTGTCCCATCCCACTTCCACGTCTCTGCCCACGCGTGCAGCTCCTGCCATGTTCCAGGCCGGTCGTGCTACCCAGACACCCCTCGCCAGGTCATGCCTTCCCTGCCTTGATGTTTTCTGTGCAGGAAATGTCCCCACTATCACCACAGTGCCTCACTTGTCCCCAAAACTCCTATTTTTCTTTAAAATCCCTGCACGAGGGGGTCCCTCTCAGAGGCATCCAACACACGCGTGTATCGCAGCATCTGTGAGCATTCTTTGTACTTGGGGATGCAGGAGGTGTACCGTTTCCATGGGAGGCAACGCACAAACCATGTATCTCACATGTGCACTGGGACGTGTCTACACGCCACACAGCAGTTACTAGGAGCAGGCTAAGCCTCCACATCTCACCATGAAAAGTCGAGGTGCCAAGTGATTCCCACAGCAGAATTAAAAGGCACACAGAACAATGCCCATTTATGGATAAATAAATGTAGGAATTAAAAATAGATGGCAGTAGTCAATCTAAATTCACGATAAGGCTGCCTTGTGGGGGTATGTGACAGACGGTGGTCAGAGGGGACTCAGCGCCTCGCAGGTGCCCCAGTTCTGTTCTCAAAATATGCTCGAAGACGGAGCGAGTCCTTGTCAGCGTTTCTGGGGCTTGGGGACCTGCATGGTGCCCTGTGACCCTTTGCACTTTTCTGTCATGTGAAAGCCTCTCCTATTAACCACATCACAATAATACTCCTTGGTCGACAGTGGCAATGGTGGGCATGTGAGCAAGATGGAGAGAAAGGAGGGATGTAGTCTAGTACATACTGCTATCTGCAGGGACAGCCAACTATACACTGGTCCGGCGTCATCGCACAGAGTGTGGGGGTCTTTGTAACCTTTGTCCCCACCAAGGTGGCTTCATCGTACCATCCACCGGGCTCCTGCCCCACCTCGTATGCTGGGCCTTCATCCTGACCCAGCAGGATGGCTGTTCAGGTCTCTGCCCGCCCAGGGGGAGCCCTGGACGGGGCATGACGCCGTGTCTCACTCATGGTTGCAGCCCTGCAGCCCAGTCCCTGGCATCTTCCAAGATGCCAGTGAACTTTGTGAAATGCAGTGTGATGTTTCTGCCCTCACTGGTTTGCTCCTCGTGTGGGGGGAGTGCCCAGATGGCACTGCAGGGTTCTGTGCCCTGAGGGCAAAGGCAGAGGCAGCTTATGTCACTAGCCCACAAAGTAACAATGTTGAAACCCAGCCTTGGCCCCCATTTTCACTTGCACGTGACCCCACACGTCACTGCCATCGTCACTGGGGTTGCCTGGGGCATGCTAACTGCATGGACTGTTGCGTTGAACAGGCGGGCGGGGGCCGTGATACCCCAGGGGTCACTTTTAGACGTTTGGACTTGGCCCAGCGAGCCGTGTGACTTGGCTGCTTTCCCCAAGTGCTGGTTCTAAAGTGCGTGCGTTTGGGTCCCTCAGAGACCCCGCTGACCTTGGCCGCTCAGCTGGACGACTCCGTGGAGGTGATCAAAGCCCTCAGAAATGGCGGGGCTCACCTGGACTTCCGCGCCAAAGATGGGATGACGGCCCTGCACAAAGCCGCCCGAACCAGGAACCAAGTGGCCCTGAAGGTACATTCGGAGCCCGTCTGGCACGGGTGACGCCCCCTCCCCATCTGATCGCCTGCATTTCCCGCCCCATCCCCCTTTCCCATCTCACAAAAGCAACCCCAGGTGACCCCAAATCATTCCAACTGGGGTGTGGTCACATTTCAGCCAGTGCTGAAATGCCTCCTCCAGGGGAGGAGGTTGCAAACCCGGCATGGGCATGGGGCCGGCCTCGCTGCCATCACAGCCCCCGGGGCCGGTGCCAAGGCATGGATTTCACCGTCCCCTTCCTCCTGCACTGCCCTGTGTGACACCGTCCTGTGGGCCTGCTCTACCTGCCCTGGTGCTGTGTCTGTGGCGCCTCCAGATAGAAGGGCGCTGGCGCACGCCCACTCTCTCTCAGAGCCCCGGGAGGAGGGAGACGGGCCCATGGCTGCATGCTGACCCCCCGGACGGAGCTTCTCTCCAAAGGCATAGATTCTCACTTCATATCAGCTGCACCTTGTCGGGAAGGGTGTCCTTGCACATCACGTATTCATTACAACACTGGCTGGTTTCCCCTCCCTTAGGATGCACACCGGGATAGTTTTGGACCTGATTTTTAGGTTAAGTCGCACACCCTGTCTCTTTCCTACAAATGGCGTCTTTACCTCATTGCTCTCCGCGGGTATGCAGGGGACGAGGGGCCACAAGCAGGCGTGTGAGTGTCACAGGTCCACGTCTACAGTGTGTCTCCTCGTCGCCCCGAAGTCCAAGCCCATCCTGGGCGCCTGGCACTGGGTGCTGTTTCAGAAAAGTCATCTTCTGAAGTGGGGCCCTCCTTCACCCTGGGAGGCCCAGGAGAAGCGCCGGGCCCCGAGGGCTGGGTCCTCCTTGGCCTGGCGGGGAGCCACCCTCACACTTCTTTCTCGGGTGTTTCTCTCCCTGCGTAAGGGGTTGTGAGACCAGTGACCACACGTTTGGCGTTTTCTCTAGACCCTTTTAGAGCTTGGAGCCTCCCCGGATTATAAAGACAGCTACGGCCTCACGCCCCTGTATCACACGGCCATCGTCGGGGGCGACCCCTACTGCTGCGAACTGCTGCTCCATGAGCATGCCACTGTGTGCTGTAAGGACGAGAACGGCTGGCATGAGATCCACCAGGTACCGCTGTGCGCCCGCCCACGCCCCTGCTGTCACCCTTCACCCCCAGGCAGCGCGGGGCAGCCTGCATGTCAGGCCTGGTCTCCCGGCGTTTCAGTTGCCTTACGCAGAGTTCCTAAAAATATTTGAGTTAGTCACCGGCACTTAAAAACAGGGATATTCACCCAGAAATGCACATTTCTGACGTCTCTGGAGAAATTGTAAGTCTGTTGGCATTTCTGCATAGCAGCAGCCGGCTGGAGTTGTGGGGAAAACGCACCCTTCACAGGAACCATGAGCCCTCCAGGGTGCCCCTGACAAAGCAAGGGACCAGGTGCTCTCTGAGCACAGGTGACCCAGCACAAGGCCTGATTCCTGTGCGCAAGGTGCACGTTTCCAAGATCCCACCCGGCCACAGCGCGCTTAGGGGTGTGTCGCTGCAGTGTCAGCAAGAAGCAGAACCCACCTGTGGCTCAGGTGGAGAGCAGTGGGCCGGGGGCAAGGAGAGGAAATCATGTTTATGGGACAACTAGGGCAGAGGAGGGCGCAGGGAAGAAGTACCCAGGCCTCTCTCTTCTCCCTCCTTCCATTGGCTGAGCCCTGCCAGAGCCGGCCCACCAGGGAGCCCCTTAGTGCAGGCACCGAGGTCTGGGTCTCCTGGCGGAGGAGGGTGGACAGTGGGTCTGGGAGAGCAGACAGAGGCTCTGAACTATTGTCTCCATCGGCAGTGACTTCCGTCAATTCCGTCAAAATGGACAGGTATCCATGTTCCTCCACCACTGTCACCTCACGCACCTGCCCCACCTGGGAGGGGCCGTGCACCCCACCCACTTTGGTCAGAGGGCAAAAGAGCTGCTGAGAGGGGCGGCAGGTGGGCTCTGGGGGTGCAGGCAGGTCCATGCCGCCTGGCCTTTCTTGCGCTCGCTCGGTCAGTCCTGGTTCATCAGCAGCACCCCGCTGGCCTGGAGAAGACGTTCCGACCCGTGGTGTGAGCAGGGGCTCTGGGAAGCTACTCGCGGCAGCTCTGACCCTGCTCCCCAGATGGGGGCCATTGTAGGAGTGAGTGTGATGACTGCCTGTGACGTCGGCAGGGCCTCGCGCCGCCTGGCCGTGGAAGGGATCGAGTGTGCTTCGTGTGCTCAGCCTTCTCTCTGCTCTACGTCAGAGCCCGTAGCACTCATGTCCCCAGGCCCGCCCCTGTCACATTCTGGTCCCTGTGGCTGGGTGTCTGAGCTATTTCAAGTCCCCCAGCAGGTCTCCTGGCCGGCCCACCCCCCACCCCTTCCAGATGGGTTTCCTAAAACAGGGCTCTGGTCCCGTTCTTCCCCGGCTCAGAACCGCCTGGGGCTCCCCAGTGTTCGGCCCTCGGCCCCTTGCTGTGTCCTCAGGGTTTTCTCGATGGCAGCCAAAGCGCACCACTTCCTGTTTGCCAGACGGGTCTGGACTTCCCGCTTGGGTCTCTTGGCCGAAACAGTTGCTTGTCCCCAGATCGTCATGTCCTTGGTTCCTGGTTCTCTCCCACCAAGGGGACTATTGGCACGTTTGCAAAGTCCACCCAAGATGAGGGCAGCAACTGCCTGCAGCTGCTGGGCCATCACTGTCACGAATGTCATCACCATTGGCATCTTCTCGGCCGGGGATGAGCTGCTCAGGGGATGAAGGGGTCGTGGGGCCCAGGCCTCCTCAGTGACCATGGGTCTGTGTTTCACTGAAGAAGGTGCTGGAAGGCGTCTCCCCTCCCTCAGAGGGGCTGTCACCTGGCCGTCCAGCTGGAGGCCCTGGTCTGGGCAGTGGCGCTCCCGGCAGGCTGTGGACCCTGGCCTGGCCAAACTGGAGCTGGCCTCACGTGTGGCCGAGCGCCAGAGGCACCCCCAGACCCAGAAGAGGCGAAGGGGTGGAGATGCGGACCCCACAGTTGGTTCTCCATCCTCCTGGGCGAGGGCCCTGAAGTCCCCACACACCTTCCCTCTGACAGCCGCTGGGGAAGGACTGGGTCATAGAGGGACCAAAGTCACTTGGTTCTGAATTCTCACCTCGCAGTCAGATGGAGCTGAAGAACTGGACTAAGTCAGGAGACCGAGTGAGCTCAGGGAAAATTCTAGAACCCCAAGGCTTCATTCAAGGGGACGGTCTTCCACCTCCGAACGAATGCACGCTGAGGGCCCTCTGGGGAGGTGGAATTTAAGTTTTGGTTGAACTTGTCGTTTTTTGAGCACGTATGCGTTTGCAGGGTTCCCTAACTCAGACAAGAGATATTGGGCAGCCCCGCCCACCTCCGTCCCCGGCCCGTCCCTAGCCCTGTTAGAGAGCCATTATTACCAGCTCTGCGCACGTCTCCAAGGTTCTTAAAACAAAGACAAGCCCTGAGTGTATATGCTCATTTTCTCCCGCTGTTTGGATGCCTAAGGTGCTTGGCATGGGCTCTGCTCTGCGCCTTGGTCTTCCCACTTGACGTAGCCTGGAGATCGCCAGGTCTGCACGTACAGACATCGCGTCCTCCTTTATAGCTGATGGTTTGTGTGGAGTTACACCGTCCCCCTGGGCGAGGACCCTTCACCACCTGTGGGTGCTCATTCAGCCACAGATGCCGCCTACTGCGCGTGAGCACCTGCCAGGCGTGCTCAGTGTCCCGGACACTGAGGACTCAGCACTGAACACAAACACCCCTGGTGTGGGAGCCTGTACGTCCCCGTGGGGGAGCCATAAGTGAGGCAGACAGCTATAGGGACCACTGCAGGCCCGCACGCACACGTGTGCACATGGCTGTGTGTGTGCCCGTGCACGTGGCGCGGGCACAGCAGTGCTCTCATCTCTGTGAGACGGTGCTTACTGGGTGCACGCAGTGACCAGGGGGGCAGGAAAGGGGTGCCCCTGCCCGGGCGTGCCCTGCTCCTCTGCTCATCTCTGCTTGTCTCTGACTCGGCCAAGCCCATCCTCGCGGGATGACCTTGCTGAGGAAGTTGAAAGGGATGTATTTCAGGCTCTGCTGGCAGTGTCCCCAGGGGACCTCTGTGGGATGAGCGGCCCGTGGGGGACGTCCCAAGCGGCCGAGGTGACCGACTGCTGATGAGGGCAGAGGATAGCTTCCTGCGTGTGAGCTGAGAGAGGAGCGGGTGGGGCGAGGGCTCTGCGTGGTGACTTAGTATTTGTCACACTCTCTGCGAGTCCTCCCGTCTCTGGCAGTTGGGTCACCCTCCAGGTCATCAGGGCCCCACATGGGGGAGCATCGGGAGCACAGAAAGTAGGAAACCAGTTACTATGGCCCGAATCCAGCCGCAGGGTCCCTCAGACAGAGCAGATCCTGTGCCCCAACTTCCGAGAGTGGACAGAGCGCAGTTGTCCACTTGCCTCCGGCCTCAACCAGGCACACAGCCTTCACGACTGGGTTGCCTCCCACTTCCCTCATCTCATGCATGTGACAGTCGTGGTTGTGTGTGTGTGTGTGGGAGCTCCTGGCAGTCGCTTTCTGCAGTGCCGGCCCTCCATGATTCCCGGTCCCCGAGACCCCGCGCGTGGAGTGTGGCTTCAGAGCGTCCCAGCACCAATGCCACCCAGCCTCTCGGTCCCAGAGCCCCCAGCCTTGGCTCTGCTTTGGAGCTGGGAGCTCCGTAACTAACTCCCAGGTCCCCGCCTCCCCCGTTGGGATCTGTCCACCACCCTCTAGTGGTCGGTTTCTTTCGCACAAGCCTGGGAAAGCCCTTTTCCTACCAAAGAATCTCGGTTTGGCCCACGTGGAGTGACCACAGGCAAGTTCCTGCCTCCTGAGCCCTGCTGGCTGCATCTGCTGGCTGCCATGACTGTCCGTGATGTGAGGGATGCCAGATGCTTGCAAAGGCCTATAGGCAGTGCTGGCCTCCTAGAGTGTCACCCTCCCTGTTACCAAGCCAAACACTGCATTTGCACCGTCTTTTATACCCGAGAGCAGCCCTAGCGGATACTGCTTTCTCCATTTATGGGGTTAATGGGGCCCAGAGAGGGTGAGCCACTTGCCCCGGGCCACAGGGCGAGCAGTTGCTTGAGCTGGACACTCCCAGATCCTCTTACAGAAACTGACTTCTTTATCGGCCTCTCGGCTTCAAACAGAAGCGACCTCTCATACGGAAACGCACTTGGAGCAGAAGGAACTAGAAGGGCAGGCGGGGTTTGCAGGCACCCAGTGGGCTGGTTCTGCCCTTCCCTCCCAGGCAAAGCACCTTGGAGTTCTGGGGCTCCCGGGTCCCTCTTTGAGAGTCTGTCCCTCTGCCTAGCACCCTCATGGGCACCAGCTCTGTCCCAGTCCTCTGGCTCATCTTTCTAGGGACCCTGAGCAGCCACAGCCAGGTCAGCTCACAGGCGTTGCAGGCGGCTGGTCTGCTGTCCGTGGCCCAGCCTGGAGGCCATTCAGATCCAGCCCCTGCAGGCTGACGGGATGAGCGCTTTTTTGAGCTCATTCTGCAAACTATCCTAAAAGTCATTATTCAGATCACCCTAGAATTTTTTTTTTCTGATTACAAAAGAAATACCTGTGCAACATGGAAATCTTGCCAACTACAATACAAAGAAGTATAAAGAAGGAAGTAAAAACCACCCAAATGCTTTCCCGCAGCCCGAGAACTTCGAGGATTCATTTTGCATGTTTAGCTGCAAAGTAGCTTCACGCCCACCTGTTGCACCTTCCCTGCACCTAGGTTCCCACCTGAGGGACGGTGGGTCTGGTGGTCTCAGATCTGCAGGATACTGGTGGGGTCAGGCGTTCTGAGAGGACGGCCGTCCGCAGTGAGAGGACAGCTGCTTGGCAAAGGAACCAGCCTGTTTCCATGTGCCTCCGTATGCAGCTGTGCCCATGTGACCAATGGGCGCACATGGGGGTCTCGCTCCCATGTGCCCTCTGACTGTTTTGGGATAAGAAGCTCTATCCTCATGCAGCCGGTGTGTGTTCTGCGGCCCGGGGTTAAAAACACCCCTCGGCATTGCATGGGCCACCTGAGCAAGTGACTTACCCTCTCTGAGCCTGTTTGCTAATCTCTAAAGTTGGTTGGGTA